CCTTATAGAAATATCATACTAAGAATCATTGATAATTACTTATTTTCAATATTAAAAATACTGGATAATAAGTAATTATCAATGATTCTTAGTATGACATTTCTATAAGAAAGGGGCCCTGCACTGGGATTCTATAACTCGTTATTGGAGTTAACGACAGTTTCGTTATCGTTGCGCAGCTTTTGTATACCGTAGAAAAGCTGCGCAACGATAATGAAACTTTCGTTAACTCCAATAACACAACTATTTCAAGAATAAGGGTGCCGTCCCATTGAGCACGGATCGGAACGCCGGATCGGATTTCTTACTATAATGAGCGTTCCGTTCTCTAGTTCCGTTCCGTAAAAGTTTCCTCTACCAGTCCCATGTAGCAAAAACGGAACGGAATGGCGCGTCGGTCGCAAATAAATATGATTAATTCGTCAATATTTCGTTATTTTGACGCGACAGAATTAATTATATACAGAATTAATTATATACATAATTTATTATATACATAATTTATGCAATTATCTTGCCGATAACATTGTCATGAATATTCTGAAATATTTAATTGAAGAGTGAAATATATTTTATAACTAGAAATCCGTTCCGTTTTTGCTACATGGGACTGGTAGAGGAAACTTTTACGGAACGGAACTAGAGAACGGAACGCTCATTATAGTAAGAAATCCGATCCGGCGTTCCTATCCGTGCTCAATGGGACGGCACCCTAAGAGCGCTGTAGCGCAGCGTTATGGCTCCTGCACACAGGACGCGGTAATGCTTGCCGCGCGACAAAAGTCCGCGCGACAGCCAATCAACATATTGTTTTTCCATAAGAGCTAGAAGGTTATTACGGAAAGCAGCATATTGATTGGTTGTCGCGCGAACTTCCGCCGCGCGGCAAGCATTACCGCGTCCTGTGTGCAGGAGCCATTACTGCTGTTTATAGAGCTCACTATCGCTATCGCGCTACTGACTTCGTGAACAGTCCTTGGTAGCGTTTGCGTTGGTAGCGCGATAGTGAGCTTCGCGAACACACCTATAGACATCTGTGATCTAGCATCAGCGCAATGTGAACTCTCCATTAGTAAAGTTCAGTGGGTTTGTGCATCGCTCGTACCAAGATGGCTGCCACTTGTTAGTAGCGTATTTTTCGTCAATCCGACGTGTATTTTGTAAAAAAAACTACGTTCAGTGCCTTTAAATAAGAGCGTGTATATGTCGCGTGTTTCTGCGAATAGTGTGTTGTGTGTCGTGTTGAATTCGAAATTCTGCGATCTTGAAATGTTTCGTTTTTAAATGTTCCTGGACGAGATTCTCTGAGTGGCCAAGAGGTGGAATAATCACCCGTCACCAGCCATGTTCGTCGAATGTTCTTTTGTTGTGACAGTCGTGATATAATATTTTTCGCGCGACGTAACGCCATACTACAGCAATCTTGTACACATATCAACACGTCCTTTCTTTCTCAAACTCCTTGTTTTGTTTCTTCTTGTCTTGTTTCATTTCTTTTTATCTCCCCTTACCTCACCTTACCTAACATCTTAACATCTTACCTCATCTTATCTCATCATACTTTACCTTACCTTACCACATTATACTGCACTACACCATATCACACCATTTTATACCAAGCCACATAATTTACCTTATTTTATTTTAGTTCATTTCATATCACTTCAATTTATCTTACCTTAGTTTGTTCAATTTCGTCCTTTCCTTACTTTATCTTGTTTTACCTTATTCTATTTCATATTCATTTTATTTCATCTTGCTTCATTATTACCTTATTTTTCTTTATCCTACAGAAGTATCTTATTATCGTTCGCTTATCATCATCAAATAGATTAAATGAAAGGTAATTATACTATACATATATATTTACTTTGTATATTTCTTCATCTATTTGCTTGTAGTAGTTAACTATGTATGTATATTTTTCTTTTTTTGTTAATTTGTCCATTGTCATTTTTGTAAATATATTATTTTTAGGGAACTAATTTGCAAATATGAACGTTTTGATTCTTAAATATTCTTAATATATATTAGATTTTTTCTTAAATTTTTCATATAATTTTCATATAATTTTCCAATTTGTTGATTCTAACATTTAACATTACTTATACACATATTTAAACATATAAATATTTGAATCTCTGTATTTTATAGCATCAAGCAGTTATGTACAAATCACTTTATTTTTTTAATTTTTAGTTTTAGGAACTTAAATTTGTGTGTATGTCCTGTGGGCATATATAATTTATATCTTATACAAAAAAGTGTCAAATGTTATATTAATATCTTCTATGTTTATAACATACCAATTATAAACATCATTCTCAATCATAATAAAAAATTATGTCTTTAATCGGTGTAATTATTAGAAATAATTGACCAAACTTTTTGAATATATTGTATTTATTGTAAAGATCAAGGTTTATACAAAATTAAATATAGAAATGCTTTTTTAGATTATAAACATTTTATTTACTTTTTATCTTAATTCTTAAGCTCTTAAATAAAGACTAATATTCTTAATATTCACTATGCAATGATTTCAATTCTAAATAGAGGCCAACCCAATAACAGATACTATTGTATATTTCTATTAAAAAAATGAATAATAATAACATTTGGAACTCTAAACTTGAAAGTTATATTTGTCACAGTCTGCCATCAACAAAACATTTTTATAATCTGAAAAATGTTTTTGGACCCATGTTTGTATGAACTTTTTATCTTTATAGAGAATAAAGTATACTCTTAAAGTTTGCTTACCAATTTCTGAAATACTCTGTGTAGTAATTTGATAGATATATATACACATTTAATGAATAAATGACTGCAATACTTGTTAATTTTTTTTTATATTTTATCTCACACAATAATATTTATTTTTATTAATATTTTTATATTATTCTACTATATATTATTATATTTAATATTTAAAATAATGGGCATGTAACATTTTTTTGATGTAGGCAATACAAATGAAGAGGAGTATGTGACGTTAGCATTCAAATTTACAATATAATATTTGCAATTAAAGTTTTGGATTCTTTTTTTAGAAGCATAGAAATATTATTACAATTATAAAATAAGTTATAACAATTAAAACAATTAAAATCACACAAAAACCAATTACTAATTTTATATCCATTGTCAGGGCAAATTAGTTCTGAGGAGCTTGTGTATGTACTACTATCTTAACTCATGGAGATTCGTAAACTGAGTTCTGGTTTACTTTTTAACAGTTCTTCTTGAAATAAATAGTTATTAAAATTAAACAGTTATTAAAATTAAAAAATCAGAACAAATTGAGATATCAACATTATATTGTGTTTCAGTTTGTCTTGTTGGACTTTCTTCTTCATTTCTTGTCAGATTTTAATAGTTACACATTTCTACAATGGTCATAAAAAGAATTTTACCCTTTATATGCAAATATATACAGGGTGTAAAAAAATTAGACCGATAAATTTTGAGGGGAAATAGAGAATATAAAAACAAACATATTTTACAATGTTTAATAATATTTTTCTCTACGACGCTTCGTTTTAATACTACAGGGTACAAAATAGGAATTTTATGATTTTAATAAAAAACAAACATATAAGTTGAAAAATTAAATTTATTTCAATTACACATATATATTTTAATCTTCAAAAAACAATGAACAAAAGAACGGAACAAAAATGCGCAATTGATTAGCTCAATTTATAATAAATGTTCAAAAATTCCTCCATTTGCTTCAACACAAAGATGACATCGTCGAAATTCGGGTTAACGATTCTGTTTCTGTTTCAATGCCTCATCGATAAGAGTTGTGAAAGTAAATACAAAATACCCTTGTGTTTCGACGATGTCATCTTTGTGTTTTTCAATTGCGTATTTTTGTTCCGTTCTTTTGTTCATTGTTTTCTGAAGATTAAAAATATATGTGTAATTGAAATAAATTTAATTTTTCCACTTATATGTTTGTTTTTTGTTAAAATCATAAAATTCCTATTTTGTGCCCTGTAGTATTAAAACAAAGCTTCGTAGAGAAAAACATTATTAACAAAATATGTTTGTTTTTATGTCCTCTATTTCCCCTCAAAGTTTGTCGTAATTTTTTTATACCCTGTATATAAAAATCATATTGTACTCTTTGGCAATTTTGCATACATTGAAATAAGATATATTTTAGATGAAGTACAATGTGAAGATCTGTTTATCTATTTATTTTAATGTTTATTTTAAATAAATTACTTTATAATGAAAAGAAAATTTTTATACATATTTGCAAAAGTTCTAGCAATTAGCAATTGAATTATTTTTTAAATTCTAAGGAAGTTTTTCTTACAGATCGAAAAATTGGTCTATTTTCAAACACTACTGACTCAAGGACATATATATAACATTTCTGTAATTTTGTGAGTTGATTTATGGTTGTTCATTGTTTATGGAAATGTCATAGGAGTTCTTAAAAAGTATTTATTTTCTTAAATGTAATAAATAATCACAATGATCAGTGCAGATCATGTCTTTGCTTGCAATGAATATGATTCCACTCTAGAAAACTTTGAAAAAAGTGGAAACAGATTTATTATTTAAAGGATATTGCTAAAATATATCGTGAGTAGAATTTGTAAAACTAATTTTGTTTTAATTTTATTAGCATAATTGTAAATTGTCATTGTTTATTATATTTTGATTATTTTTTTAAAGAATTTTTTTAGAGATTCTGCTTTCAATACATTACAGGTAATTATTTAAAAAGAAATAAATATATAACAAATCTTAGGAGAATCGTTGGATCTGTCTTTGAGATTTTATATTCATTGTTTTATAACAGGTTTTCAGGAAGTTACACTTAAAAGTAGTAGAGGAGAAAGTGGGAATATAGATCACTTTTTGTTTCAGACAAGAAATTTAATATTAAATACAATAATTGTATCAATAACTGTAGAAATGTTAGCAAATATTTTTTTTATGTACAAGAAATGAGGTTGGAGAATGGAGTGGTAATATGAAACATGCATGAAAATTAAAAAGGTTTACTTTTTACTATTATAAAATAGTAGATGTTAAAACAACTTTGTTTATTAAACTCCTTTGTATGTAAAACTCATAAGTTGAAATTGAAAATATAAAATTTCCTATAAAAATAAGCAAATAAAGTTCAATAATATAAATTATGTGGAAGTCCATTAGATTTATAAACAGAAGTTACAAATAAGAATATTATTTTTACATCCATTCTATAAGACATGGAAATATAAAATGTTTATAAGATATGATAATATAAAGTATCTTGTTTTATATAAAACATCTTGTTCCGTATTATTAATCATTACTATTTTCCAAATGGTTTAACAAATCTTAAAATCTTAAAATATGGAAAATATTACCAAATAATTAACTCTGTAATTTTGAAATTTGATTCTATTACTAATTGACACACTATAGCTAATGTTAGATTTATCGATTAAGACAGGAAAAAGTTTTTTTAAATCTTTGTGAAAAATTTTAAGGGAGGTTTCTACTTTGTTGGCCAGGAAAAATTTTTTGGAATTTATAGAAAAGGAACTATTAAAGATAAAATTCTAAAATTTGGAATACATTAAAATTTATCTTAATTAAACATAAAAAAAAATCGCTACGACAATTTAAGTAATGGAGCTGGGTGGGCCGGGTGGGCGGAGTGTGCGGCGGAACGAGATAATCAGCTGGTGGAAGTTCTTAGAGGCTGAAAAATGACCTGAAAAAAAAAAACAAATTTTTTTATAATCTAGAGGTTTGTGCTTCATATAGACTAAAATAAAAAAATTACAAAAATTTTTGAGTGAGTTGTAGTCATTCAAACAAAAAATGTGTTATTTTTACGAAAAATTGTTGCAGTTATTTATTCATAAAGAAAAAGTTTTTAATATTTTCTCTTTATTCTATTCTACTTTAGAGAGGCGGTATTTCCGAACATTTTAAGACCAAAATCATATCGATCGCATGATTTGGGACTTGTACAGAACTTCCACCAACTTCACAAACGTCGTTTCGAGAAAAACGCGTTTAAAATTTAAGTAGTACTTACAGCTAGTCGACGATCCCAGGACTGTATAGTATTCCCTCTTCCTCTTCATATAGCTCATTTTTGTTGCAATCTCCAATCGACGGGCAGATCGGGCTTCTTTTGAAGCTTGTAGAGCATGTTTGTCAGCGTTTCTTATCCGTTTATTGTCTCGTCTGGTAGCCATTATTGACGCGTTCATCCCAATCTTAATTCCCATGGCTTCCATTATTCGAAGCACAGAATTAAAACCTTCATTGAAAATGCATGTTGCCAAAAATAATGCAATTTCAATAGTTTTTCTTGTGCAGAATATGTTTCGATGCAAAACTCCAAATCAAAGTGTTGAGACACTCGTTGTTGTTTTGAGTGTGGCCACCTAAACATTGTTTCAATAAATCATCCGACGATAAGTCCTCATAAATAGATCGTCCTAACGTCCTAATGGTGGCCACGTAGAAATATAACAAAAGAATAATAGAGCAGCTGCAAAGACCCAAAAGAGGGCGACAAGCATATAAGCCGCAGCGCTCCGCAAGGCTACCTGACTTTTCAACAGGCTGTAACTCGATCAATTTTTCGAATTTTAACTTGAAATTTTTATCACATATTTTTTAAAGTACAATCTTTAAGAATATGTAAAAAAATCGATTTTTTTGACCCAACAAGGTAGAAACCCCTATTAGGAAGAAAACAAAGTGAATCCTCTTAATGCTATAAACAATGTGGAATTAACGCTAGACTTCTTTGGTGACTGATAAAAATTCTAGATTCTTTTTTAAGGTGGCAGAACCAAATCGGCAAAATCA